CTAACATATCAAAATCACTATTCATATATGTTTCGTAAGAATTGTGAAGGACTTTTGTATCGAACTGGCTTAACAAATTTTGTTTCTTAAGCATCATGCCAAATCTTAATAAATGTTTTAAGGCTATTTTATATTTCTTGCTTAGTTTACAAGTAGAAATTTTCTTTTTTTGTAATCTTTCTTTAGCTGTTTCTATTTCTTTTTGTTTCCTTTCATTTTCTTTTTCTAATGTCTCTGTTTTTTTTGCGCGCTTGCTCTGAACGTTCTTCTCTTCTAATCCTTAGCTGAGAATTATATTCTTTCACTAATTTATCTGTAGACGATAGTTTCTCTTCCAGCAATTTTATACTTTCTACTTGTTTGCTGTTTTCATCTTTCAAAGCGGTCCACTTACTTTTAAGAGGTTCTAATTCCTGTAAGACTTGACTTAGTTCATTTTCATATTTTGTACAGTCTTTACGAAGCTGTTCCAATAATTCATCCATACTATCCAATTTTCTCTTCTGAACTTCATTTTCTTTGCACTTGAAACTATATTGTTTAATAACTTTATCTGTTTGAATTATTTTCTGTTTAATCATTATATGATTAATACTTTCTGTTAGTGAAGTTATATTATTTCCATTTGTTAATGGAGTATTCATACTTTTTAACAAAAATGCTTGTAAATTTACCTTCTTATTTACACAATCACCACTCACGAGTTTAAACGCACATGTTTCGAACGAATACAGATTAAGTGTTGCCACCTTCACAAAATTACAGCAATTTCACATTACAGCAATTACAGCGATACACATTACAGCAATTTCGTCAGCATGGAGCTGGATTGCTAAGAATGAAAAGATATGGGAATTGACATCAGAAGAAATTAAAAGGAAATTAAAGAAAATTAAAATAAAAAATAAAATTATACCTAAAAATATTACAGAAGTCCCTGAGATTATAAATAATACAGAAATCGATAAAATAGACAACAGTATAAATGTTGATATACACCCTGCGGAAAAGAACTTGTACAGAGTAGATCTTGATTATGATAATAAAGATAACAACAGATTTCAGTGGATAGTGTTTACTGATGGATCCAAACAAACAGAAGGTGCAGGAGCAGGTATATACATTAAAAAAACAAGGAACTAACAACATTGGCTATCAGGCCAGCCTCAAAATAGCTAAACACTGCTCAAATACCCAAGCAGAATACTGGGCGATCTACAGTGCACTAAAACACAAAGGAAAATCAGGAAAAATATAATGGAAACACAAAGTTCTTTGTCGACAGTAGAACGGCACTGCACACACTGAAAAAAGACAGGAACATATCCCTACTTGGCAGCGAAATGATCAAGGAAGCCCATAAAGTGGCAACTAATAAAGTCCTAAAATTCAATTGGATCCCAGCGCACCAAGGCAATGAGGGAAATGAGATTGCCGACTCTTAGCGAAACGTGCCTGCAACTCCGATTCTAAAATTACATACAACAGACTTCCAAACTCTGCACTTAAATACTATCTAAGACAATGGAAAATTAGTACATGGCAAATAGTGTGGGAAACTTCAACCACCGGGAGACACTGTTTCAACTTTATTCCTTCAATCAAAGACAGATTAAATAACAAACACTATAAAATTAAACATGAGACTACTCAGGTTTTAANACCCAACTTACTTTCCAAACAACCCAATAGATAGGTTCAATTGCATTCAAAGCAATAAATGTATATGTAGTCCCATTATTCACATATTCATTTCGAGTGATACACTGGACACACAGAGAACAACAGCAACATTAACAAAACATAATAAACACTACCCTAAATCATCATTAAAAAGACAATCTTTCTCAAAGAGGGAGGATGAGGCCTCATAAATATAGTAAATCTTCACTAAAAACAAATACAGACATTTAATAAAAAAAATAAAAAAAGCAATAATTTTTTCAGACAAAAACAGTACACCATTAAACTTACACGACACTGACCTATATCTAATACAGTACATAAAATGCACAGACACCATCAGGCAGTCTTGTGCTCAGGAGCTTCACAGTAGGCCTAATGATCTCAACCAGGATCATGTTGACAGAACTACATCAAACTGCTGGTTGACTCATGGATATCTCTTTGGAGAAACAGAAGAATTCATAATTGTTAAACAAAACCAAGTCATAAATACAAGAAACTACAAAGAGCACATCTTAAAAGACACAACACTAACAGACAACACTTATGGGAAATGTCACATCAATGATGAAACCATACAGCATATCACATTGGGTTACAAGCTTCTAACACAAACTGATTACTTAAAACATTACCAAACTTCAAAGGCTTCCACCCAAACACAAACAATTACACACAGGAACCATACTACAAATATACACCTCAGACGATCACAGAAAACATACAAAATATGCTGTAATCAAGCTATTATCACAAACAGAATGGGATTACCATTACAACAGGCCAGACAACATTTATTGACAAACAAAACAAAGACATAGCTGTCCTAACACCAACATACAAATTGCACACACCGAAAAAATTTGTAAATACTCAGAACTCATCCATGAAATAGAGTGTCTGTGGAAAATGGATAAAGTACTTATAGTGCCAGTGATCCTTTCTTTCACGAATGTCATACCCCATATACAAGTCAAATAATCAGAAGATTCTTACACACAAATAGCACATAAAATTACAATTTTTCCTGTTCCTTAATCTCAATCTAGATATCAATCAAAGCTGAATAAGACAGCAAAAAAATTATTGTGACATCACTGCAATGCCAGGCACCAATTTTGATCATATTTTTAATTTATTTAATTTATAAAATATATTGTCTTGATTTTAATAGTGTCTTGCCTCTGTACATCAAACTTTTCCTTATAACAACAGTCATAAGTCATCTATCTAACGCCATTCAGGAGAAAATTTTTGAATTGAAATTGTGCGACTTCCCATCCAGACCAGAACTTTGTATATAGTTAATTGGGGTCTCCTTATCTAACCTTTCTATATCTGGTCTTAATTTTCATCTGTATCTCCATTCTTAAGATTAAAGAAAAACAGACAGACAGATGGTCATTAGTGGGAATTTATAGGTCTGCAATTTGAAAACTGCAGCTCAATAAATTCCACTAATACCATAATAATATGAGGGGTGTTCAAAAAGTATCGGACCTTTATTTTTCCCACGTAAATCAATGATGCATGGGAGGTCTCTTTTGGTGGAGTTGTGGAGGGGACAGTCATGCACAGTCCTGAATTTTTTCCCGCCTGCAGGAAGCATCAGTCGCTGGCAGTCTGCCTATGAGTGACGGCATGTAGTGAGCACTCATCGAATTCCACTAAGTTGGAAAATGACTGAACAATGTGAGCAGCAATATTGCATCAAATTTTGCCAAAAGCTTGGCAATACCCAAGCGGAAACCATTTGCAAGATTCAGTAGGCTTTCGGGGACGATCCTTGAGGCCAAAAAAACTGTGGCAGGTCCGCAGTAATGTCAAGGTCATGTTGACAGTTTTTTCGACTCCCGTGGGGTGGTGTATTGTGAGTACACACCACAAGGCCAAACCATTGCAAAGGAATACTACCAAGAGGTCCTTCGTCGTCTTTGTGATGCTGTGCGACGCAAACAACCAGATCTGTGGTCAACGAAAACTTGGCAGCTCCATCATGATAATGCACCCACCCATTCTGCGCATCTGATTCAAACTTTCATCACCAAACACAACATTCCTGTGGTTCGCTCTGTACTCTCCTGACAAGGCTCCGTGTGACTTTTGGCTATTTCCCAAGCTAAAATGCTGCTAAAAGGAACCCAATTTTAGTCAAGAGAAGACATCATGCGAATGCGACAGACTGGCTGATGGCCATTCCAAAAGATGCGTTCCAGCAGTGTTTCCAGCAATGGCAGGAGTGCTGGGAGAAGTGTATACATTACCAAGGAGACTACTTTGAAGGGGATTAGGGTTTTGTACCTCAAAATCAATAAATGTATTTTTGCTGACCAAAGGTCCGATACTTTTTGAACACCCCTCGTACTGTATTTTTGCAGAATGACTGGCATGCCAGTCTATCCATGAAGATCAGGAAATCAAATATTTCCATATGGTATGGCCAGTTTATCCCAGGGGAATGCTGGCATGCCAGTGTAAGTGAGGTTATACATCCCTCTCTAGAGGGCACATTAAAAAAACAAACGAACTATGTCACATAAAAGCAAATGAGTTTTTATTCTAAAACTGTAAAACTGTAAGCATTACATCAAAAACTATGATTATACATTTAATTTCTTCACTTTGTCTTCTTTGTAATGACATAAAATACTCTTGAAATTCCAAAAAAATCTTTTTTTTTATATGAATTTTATTGTTATTTAATTCAAAAATGCAAAAATAAACATATTAAATTTAAGAAACACACTATAAATTATCTCAGTTTACCCAGATTAACATGGCTTTGTGTGAAATTTGAGAGAAAGATGATATTTTTAAGGTCAGGGTTGATGGTCAATGTAGCCCACACTAACTACTACTAGTAATGTCAATAAGTCATTAATTGTTTTGTGAATGAAAACATGCTTCCTGATTTTAAGTCAGTCAAATTACAATGTTATTATTTTATTGTACTCAGAAGAATGTCTTAACATTTAATTAACAACTAGTTTTGTTATATCTGATTAATTTTATATTTTAGTTGCAGTTTAACTGGCATGCTGGTAACCCCTAGGTTTCCAACATGCTGGTTCATCATTTTTATGAGGCATGCTGGTCATTCCTCATACGCCAGAATTTTCACTAATTGTAGTCTTATTTACATAATTAGTTTAATGTTATTAGTTAATCATCATCATCTTTAGTAAAGCAAATCCCCAAAATGATTACAATAAGCAGATGCTATTGTATATATATTTTCACTATTAATTTTATATCATAAAATATTAATGGACATATCTATCAATAATAAATTGATTAAATTTAATAAAACATACCCAAATTATTAATAATATCACCAGCTGGCCATACAATATCTTTATCTTTTTGAATTGGTACTCTCTCACCATTTTCTCCAATATAACTTACTTGAAGAGATGCTGCTTTGTGACTTGGTTTTACTATTATCTTTCTTGTAACAGTGGCTATTTCCTTGTGATTCTAACAGAAATTATTTTATAACAATAAAATAAATATTTTAAACTTTTTAATATAAATTAATACGATAAAAATATTTCATACATAAAAATATAATATTACAATTAAAAAAGTTTTAAAAACAAAAAATATTCAACAACTATTAGCTAAAATAACAATATAGGAAACTGTCTTCTATTATTTCTTATGGGAAATTTTAACTGCACATTGAAAATGGACAAGATTGAGAAAAATGAATTCAGATGGTATTTTTATTTTTCAATGTGAACGTCAATAAAATTTTATCTTTCACTCTATTCTTACATCCATTATCATTGTTAAACTTTAAATGTAAAAAGCAACATTCTTTGTTAAAAAAAACAAGTTAAAGTGACTTTAAATAAACTAAAAGACATAATGAGGAGTAAGACTTTACAAGCACTTACAAGATGGTCTGTGTTGTTTGAAATATATCTTTAATAAAACCCTAAAACAATCAGCAAATTAATAGATTTTTGCATCGTCATTCAAAACTATGTTGGTTGATTCAATTCTAAATAGAATCTTAATATCATTTTCACCATCTGAAACCACTACTGACTTAGGTTAAAATCATGAGATTAAACATTTTAAATGATTCTATGTATTGAGATTGCTTCCTTCCTTCAAAGTATAAGGAATACAAATTTCAAATATTTTTGAATGTTATAATTAAGTTAAGAATATAATATAAAAACAAAAATAATGTAATCTGAACTGATCAACACAAATACAGACAAACAGTATAAGACAATGTTAAAATTATTTTAATATTTATTTAATAATTACTTTCAACTTACTATTACTTCAAATTTTGCAGTCAATGTTTCACCACCAAACATATTTTTTAAATGTAAAGGAGGTCCTGACATTTTGCTTTTCCCACTAGTAGATAGATCACCAGTGTACATAGGCAAAGAAGAATTATTAGAACCTGAAAACTAATTAAAAATAATACAATTTTTATAAAATGATTTATTTTAAATTCAAATTAATAGTTTAATGATATTAACAGTACCTTACAAGTAGCTATTAACTTTGGTTCACAGGTACTATTTCCAGCCATATCTATAGTTGATATTTCAAATTCAGGAGAACTTCCATTTTCAATTTCAATATCCTTTTCAGGAATAACTAAAAGTTTATGAGGTGGACCTAATACATAAAAATTAACAATTATTTTAATTTTATTAGAAAATAAAATTTCATGATCACTTAAAATTCTGCTTAAATTTTTAACTGAAGAAATTTGTTTTAAGTTTAATTTTCTCTGTTTTTAGTAACAAATTGCAGAAAAATAGGTTAAATTTAGGGAAATTAGTCCCATGTTTTATAAAAGTATTTATTAATTAAAAACTGCAGTACAATACATAATACTTTTAGTTTACTAAAGGTTATAGCTGTTGAATATATCAGTCAATATCTGTAACCAAAAAAAAAAAACTGATTGTTCTAATATTGTTTATTTTGGTTAACAACTCAAACTCAAAAATAAAATTCTCTGAGAATTTCAGGTTTTCTGGAAGTGTTTATTCTCTCTGTCATCTCTTTCTATATATATATATGTGTGTGTGTGTGATGGAAGAAAACATACATAAATAATGTGTGTATGTATGTATGTATGTATGTATGTATGTATGTATGTATGTATAAAGTTTCCCTCCATTTTCAATCTCTGCATATAAAGTATGAAGCTTTTGTTATCAGTCAATTAATAATTAGCTGTATATATCTTATATTTGTTTATATGTATGTGATCAGTTATGCAACCTTTGTGCATTTGAAACTTTTTTACAATTTTTGTTAATTATCATAATTCTTGGTTATTCATTCATTTTTGAATATCACAATTATTGTATTGTTTTCAAGCTTTATAAACTAAAAAATTAATGCAAACATTATAATTCTTCATTATGCCAAAGTCTCTTTTAACAATTAATAAATAATTTGTGAGAACTCAAAACTATATATAATTGTAAATAATAAAATCAAATCTATCAATTATTTTTCACCATCTATTTTATATTTTAATATTTTCTTTAATTTATAAAATGTTAAAAATTATCTGCAAATTACATAACACAATCTTAACGTGTAAAAATAGAATATCATTCTTTATTATACATTAAAAACCCCATGTTAAAAAGTATATAGTATTTTTAATATGCATCCTTCAGATTTTTAAATACTTATTGCTAATGACTTTACTAATAATGTTAAGAATTATGACAATCAATAAACCTATCATTAGTGAACAGAAACATTAGATTTGTGATCTGAAGGCAACAAAGCAACTAAAAGTACAAATATTATAATATATAACAAAAAGAGGGGGAAAAAATTCATTTGTAATGATTATAAGAAAAAAAAAAAAAAACAAAGACTTAATAATGATTAAGACATAACAGCATACCAACAACAAACAAAAACTAAGAAGAATCAACAAATGACTGAAGAACAGATTTATACAACAATAGATGAAAAAAACCAAACTAAAATAAATTTTCTAAATTACACGAACTGCTGCAAGAAAATTCTTATTCTCAGCTGCTACATATCAAAATAAACATGAGAAATCAAATTCTATTAGATGAGTTTCAACAATAAAACAAGATAAATCAACAATTTAAAAAAATAACATTTTAAAACATTGTATTTAATTAAAATAAAAACCAAGAAATTTGGATCATTGTCATTACTATTATAACATTGTATAAATAATTTTTTGATGAAATTTGAAATATCAACAATATGTTATCCTGTTGAGGATTGCTACATTGTTGAATCAAGATAATGTTCAATATGTTTATGTTTAAAGTCAAAACAATGTTTATTATACACATAAATTAACCTCTATAAACTCAGAGTTGCTTCTATTAAAAAAACCAAATTATAGTTTCTCACATGTCAACTTGTTAAAAATGGACACAGACATCTTGTTACATACAGGTATAAAATACAGGTATACCTCGACTTATGTCGTTTCGAGTTACGTTGTTCCCGATTATACGTCGTTTGTCAAAAAAGTATATGGAAAAATAAAAATCCAGTTTAAGTCATTTTATTCGACTTTACGTCTGTCCGCCACAAATATTGAAGTCGTAATATCACTATAAAAGCGTTTAAAGCACATAAAATCACATTAAAATATATACATTTACAAGTATGTACTGTATTTACAGTACACATACAGTACGGGGGACGCGAGTCTGACAAGTTGGATGAATTTTAGCTCCTGAATAAACAGTTTTTTCTTGGATAATAGTGCGTCTATAATATTAAGTTATATATCATCGGATTCAGCTAAGTGAGAGAAGTCCAGTGATGCCACTTTTATGACCCTGGGGTCAAATTTTCGGAAGATATTACGAGTTGAAAAGTCGACTTTTCGGAGTCCATTTTCCCGGAAGAGGAAGACCGTTTATCCGGAATTGACAACGGATTTTCATCAACCTTCGAACTGACAGTACTACCTCAAATTTTCGGGGGTACAGGACCAATAGTTTCCGAAATATCGCCACTTCTTCGAATGTTAACGTCGGACTTTGTAAGCCCGCATCGGGCCTTTGGCGACAGACTTTAAAATAATTTTAAGGTTATCAGTGACACTAGGCCATCAGTAAACTTTCCTAAAAATTTCATATCAAAACCTCTATAAATATTTAAACTTCAGCAAAATTAAAATACATCAAAAATCATCAACTTTCTACACTGAACGAAACACATCGTTTCCAAGGCAACGGTTAACAACTTTAGCAGCTACAACGCATATCAACTGTCATTAACGGTCGTCTAATGACGTCATCATCAAAACATCGTTTTTTAGAAGATTTCTGCGTTTTTAATCATTTTTGGAAGGATTGCCAAACCAGAAATAAGGATTGAAAGACAATCAGCTTGTATAACACCATGTATTAAATTGTATAACTAGTTTTAAGTAGTGTTAACTATTTTAAGTTATTTAATTCTATCTCTTAGTGCTGTGTCACAGAGTTTACTCTGGGATACAGTATTGCTGGGCACAGAGCCTCCTTTCCACAAGACACTCCTTCTAGCATAAGTTTAATTTTAGTGTACTGGATTCAACAATAATAGAACCAAAGATAATTCTAACTCCTATAGAAGAAGAAATGGATGATAGCAGAATGGAGACTAACCAAGAAAATACAGACATAATAGAAGAGACTGAAAGCATACTAATAAAGGATGCTAATAGAATATTGGGGATGATACTAGAGCTCTGTCCAGAGCATACAAATACAAACATAAAACAAAACCATAGGATAAAAATCAGGGAAAACGTGACCAAACTATATGGATATATGCATGAAATGTATGCAATTGTGAAGGAGGTCCGAAAGAACAAAGCACAACAACAGAATGTCACACAATCCACTCAATCAGACAACCAGACTACCAGTGAAATAGGAATCAAGGCACAACTGGAAAACGTAATAACCAGACAATCTACTTATGCGGAGATAACGAAAACTAACCTACAAAACATACAAAGCCAAACAACAAGAGTTATCCATAGAAAAAGTGAAGATGGAGATAGCAGTGCCGTTCTAGTTTATCCAAACAATGAGGAAGGTACAGAAATCAACATGAAACAAATAGAGGAAAAAATAAAGGACAAAATCAGGCCACACCAAATCAATGTGAAAGTTAAACAAATTAAAAAAGTTCAGGGCAATGGAATCTGTTTCAGAGTGGGAACCGAAGATGAAGGAAACAGACTCAAGGAAGCCATAGAAAATATAACTGAAATAAAACCAAAAATAACATGTAAGACGCAACAGGAAAACAACCAAGAATCATATTGTTAAATGTCCCAAATAGCATAGAGGAAGAAGAAATAATACAAATAATGACAGAGCAAAATAACATATGGAGAAATATGGACAAAACCACAATCACAACAAATTGTAAAATCAGCACAACAATAAAAGGGGAAAAAAGCAGAAAAAACTGCAGACATGTGGTAATGATGGTTACACCACAAATTCGTAACATAATAATAAATCAAAGGAAAATTGCAATGTCATAGACTATGGTCTGGGTAGATGATTTTGTGCCGGTAACTAGATGTTACCGGTGCTGTGGATTTGGACACTGGGCAAGGGACTGCAAAAAAGAGCAGACATGCAGCCAGTGCACAAAGGAACACAGCTGTAAGGAATGTCAGGCAAAAAATCAAATCCCATCATGCATTAACTGCATTCAAGCAAACAGAGGTCTACCAACAGAAAAAAGGAAAGCTACAAACCATAACGCATACAACAATCAATGTCCCACATTACTTAAAATAAAGGAACAAATAATTGGAAGAACAAATTATGAACTATAACAGCAGAAACAGTAATACTCTGAATAAAAATATAAAAAGAATGCAAAGTAACGACCAACAACAAGGAACAAAGAAAGGACTTAACATACTTCAACTGAATGCACAGAGAGGCAAGGCCCCTAGCTCTTTGTTAATGCACAAAGCAAGTAAAATTAAAGCGGACTTAGTATTATTACAAGAACCCTACACGGTTAACAATACAGTGGTGAGCTTGGGCCACTGGCAAATTTTAAATAACAACAATGGGAAAACTCCAAAAAGCTGTATCGCAGTTATCAACAGATCAATAGACATTGCGCTTATTCCAAAACTTTCCTCTGATATTATAACAACCATAGTCATACACCATAAGCCTCCTATATATATTATCAATGCATACTTATCACCAAATATGAATGACAAGCAAGCGACGACTGAATTGAGCAAAACACTAAGAAGCATCAACAGTAAATACATTATTTTAGCGGGAGATCTAAACGCTAAGTCTGGTATTTGGTTTAATACAAAAGAAGACAAAAGAGGTGTGATGGTAATGGAGATGATGGAGGAATTTGGTTTTATATCAACAAATATGACGGATCACCCAACTTTCTACACAACAAATGCAAAGGGTTGGACAGATGTGTGTCTAGTCACGGAGGATCTTGCCCAGTACATTACAAACTGTGAAACATTATTGAGCAATACTGGTAGTGACCATAGATACTTATTTACACAAATTGACAATTTGGATATATATACTGATCGTACCACTTCTAACAAGAAATATATAAACTGGGAACTCTTCAGAAAAGCATTTCAAGAA